AGATGGCTGATGTCAAGATTGCGCGTGTTGATTAGTACTCAGTCTCCCACGGTGATGGTGTGGTCTGTGCGGTGGCGATCGGCCTGGCGCTTCTGTTGTTGCTGAATGTCGAGAAGACGCTTGTGGGTCCGATCCCAAAGTTTGTGCATGGTCGTGATGAAATCATGAGCGGGTTGGACTGTGGCTGGTATGTTTGGCTGTTGAGGTGTGAGTGGGTGGCGTCCATAACAGAGGAAGAACGGCGTCTGTCCAGTGGTGGCGTGAGTAGCATTATTGTAGGCAAACTCCAGGACGGGTAGATGCAAGTCCCATTTGGATATTTCGTCCTTGCGGGCTGCGCGGAGTAGTTGCTCTACAGTTTGGTTAAGACGCTCAGTCTGGCCGTCTGTCTGCGGATGGTATACGGATGACATGGCGATGTTGTCCGATCTGTGCATGCTGTTATCCGCATCTGGTCCACGTGTGAAGATCACCAATTATTGGTGGTATGGCAGTCCTGTCGTAGTACTGCTTCTGTAGTAGTGTTGTATCCGTTACATGCAGCTTCTGTCAAATGATTGTCCATGCCGTAGTGCTGTCTCGAATCGTACCCACTCGGCATCGTAGTGCTGCGGGAATGGAGAGCAGAATCACTAGTAGTAACCCTGTCCACCACGCGGTCTGCTAGTCATACTGCCTTGAGTACAACACCGCATGCGAAGTGCTGCTCAACGTATCCCTTGTGTACAAAACCATGCGAGGGGCTGGTACCATAAGCGCGGAGCTGGTAACTTCCAGAATCGGTGCCAAAGTAGTTTCCCTCGGTGGTTGCTCAAGCGAGGAATCTCAACTGCGTAGATATCCCACGGTGATGGGTTAGGACATCTGGGAATATTAGGGGTATTCCCAAGTAATCCTCTCCCATTTCCAAATGAGCATTGCTGATAGCCAATCCAATATGACGTTATGCACGTCCAGTTTAGCACGGAGGCCATCGGTAGGCATCGGGGTCTGGGCGCACATTTTGGGATAGGTCTTCTGGTGCCATCATGTGTTGTCTCATTCTGTTACTCTCCTTGACGTAGCGTTGATGTCGAAGACGTCTCAGCTACTCAGTATCAGTGTTGAAGTCTGCTCCATTTTGGCAAACAGGGGTGTTGTTGCAGATACGCAGAGTCCACTATCCGGAGTGGCGTCGGCGCTCCATTTTACGCCTATCTGCTCCCGTGGAGGTGGTGCTGGTAATGGATTGGTTGCGACACGGGTTTTATGACTTTAAGGAAAGCCATAAGCCATGAGGACTTGTATACCGGTAGAGTACCGTAGTCCTCCCATCCTCATAAGAACAAATATCTCCTGCTCTTGAGGGTATATGGCATTGCCATGTTGTTCCCTCGCATAGTGGTATCTCCTTCCCACTAGCTGGATATCATAGTACTGTGCCTGGCCGGGTCTTTACGATCATACTGGAATATAATCCAATGTTATCTCCATTGAGTGGAGAATCAGCCATCAGGATTTCGTTGTGACTGCCGTGTCGAGTCTTCTGCTGCGGCGGCGGCGGCGGTTGCGACGATGGCGACGGTGGCAGTTGCTGCAGAGAATTCTCTTAACTCGTAATGGTTGAAGGAGAATCCATCAACTCCCTCTTCCCAGTAGAGTGTTCCTGATGGGTGTAACAGGCGTAACTACCAAGAACACGTGCACATTAGTACACATGTGTTGCTCCATTGCTGCCGGTGATTGTTTCATTTGAGGGTATGAAGAGAAACTTGCTTCTCCCCTCAATGTATCCACGGGTAGCAATTCCTGGTATGCTCATCCGTGCCTCCGATGTACGGTCGGTAGAGCGCGTGATTGTGTTGTAGTGGTCCGCATCTCCCTCATTTGTTGACACCTCATGTTGCTTGGCGTTCTCCTGCATCGTCGAAGTTACTCTGATGCTTCTAACGCTTCGGCTTCTGGTAGAATCGCCTCCAATGCATGTGCCGTAAGGTCGCTAGTGAACAAATACTTGCCGGATTCGAGGTTAATTACTTCTCAATCTATCAAGCATCGTGACGTGCACGGAGTTTTTTTCCACGCAGGTTATTAATACGTGGAATCGCGACGCATGATTGGTGTGTCGCCTCGTGAGGTTGATGTTGAGACTGCTCCAATCAATTACTTCGGATGGCTGAGATTCTTGATGAATACGAATCGGTCAGCTCCTGCTACGAAGTAGTGTCTCGCTGGCCTTGACGAGACGAGTTCACTGCGTCGTCGTTGCGTGTGAAATCTGCTCCTTTGCAGCAACTTGAACTTGGGAGCATTGCAAGAGAAAACGGCTACTTCTCTGCAATCCCATAAGTTGTCGATCATTTTATATGAAGAAGTGTTTCGTAGATGGAGAACATGTCTTTACGCAGCTTCATTGTTTTTCCGTGGTGAAGATCCGCTGTGTTGATGTCGATCCATTTTTAACGAAGATGACTTCGTGAAAATAAATCGTAGCGTTATCAACACGAGTTAGAAGATGCGTCGATTGTGCAGTTCTGGTCACGAATGTTGTCTCCATGGTGATGTTCTCCCATAGTGTGGTCTCAGCTGCATTCGTGCCGTTGATTCCGCACCGATCCGACAATCCACGTTATCCTATCAGTTTTCTGCTTGCAGCTATTACCAAGTAGGTAATTCGTCGGCAGATTTCGGACTCTGCAGATGATTTGCGCGCCATGTTCGTCACCACATGGAGAAACTCGATTTTGGTTGTCGAGATGTTGTCAGCGGTGTCGAAGACGGCTCTTTTGATGTCCTGCGCGTCATTCTCTCTTCGTGTAGAAACTCGCGCGCCATCTCGTCCGTTGAAGCAGTAGCGGATCCGACGGTCCAAAATCCAAGCGATCTGGAATCATTCCGGAGTCGTGTTCAGCAGCTTTCGGTGTCCGGGTCACCTCTCCTACACCCTCCTTCCCCCCCTGAATCCCTGATGCTGGATCTCAGCGCCAGCACACACTGCACCCATTCACCCTCACGAGCCCCACGCATCATCCCGTGCCACGAGCGCCCACATGCTACTTGATTTTTGGCGCCCAAAGAATCCTTAATCGCTCCCTCCCTCTCCCTCTCCCTCCCTCCCTCTCCTTCTCCCTCCCTCCCTCTCCCTCCCTCTCTCTCCCTCTCCCTCCCTCCCTCTCCCTCTCCCTCCCTCCCTCTCCCTCTCCCTCCCTCCCTCTCCCTCTCCCTCCCTCCCTCTCCTTCTCCCTCCCTCCCTCTCCCTCCCTCCCTCTCTCTCTCCCTCCCTCCCTCTCCCTCTCCCTCCCTCTCTCTCCCTCTCTCTCCCTCCCTTTCTCCCTCCCGCCGTCCCTCCCTCCCTCGCTCCCTCCCTCTGTGGTGCAGGATCCCAGCTCAATACAATGCCCCCATTCATCCTAACGAGCATCATGCATCATCCCGCAAAGGCATCCGCACCCACTTTAACACAGGATCCTCAGAAGCCCTCCCTTCCTCTCTCTCTCCCTCCCTCCCTCCCTCCCTCCCTCCCTGGATCTCCGCTCCACAAAACGCCCCCATTCGCCGTAGCGAGCATGTTGCATCATCCTGAAACAAGCACCTAGGCGTCTATGGACTATAAAGCCCTCCCTCCCTCTCCCCTCCCCTCCTCTCTCCCTCCCTCCCTCCATGGTGCAGGATCCCAGCTCCACAAAACGCCCCCATTCGCCCTAGCGAGCATCATGCACCATTCGGCGACAGAAGCACCACCCACCCTCACGCCCTCTCTGCTCCCACGCACGGGCACGGCAACTCGGGAGAGCTAGAGGAATCGGGAGCGAAGCGGGAAAATCAGGAGCAAGCGGAGGGGCAGGAGGAGGGGCGAGAGAAGGGGCAAGGGGAGGGGCAAGGGGAGGGGCAAGGGGAAGGGCAAGGGGAGGCGCAAGGGGAGGGGCAAGGGGAGGGGCAAGGGGAGGCGCAAGGGGAGGGGCAAGGGGAGGGGCAAGGGGAGGGGTGCTTTCATGGGCACAACGAGGAGCAGCCATCTTTCAAGTGTAAAGAAGAGCCTATAGCGGAGCCACCATGCACCGAGGGAGCAGGGGCCTTGGGATCGCCAGCTGTGCTGTCAGAGCAAGTAGGAGAAAGGGATGGGTGTGGAGGCAGGGGGAGGGGCCGAGGGGGTTTTGAGGCGGCTTATAACGAGGGAGCAGGGGGCTTGGGGTGGGCAGCTGTGTCGTCAGAACGAGTAGGAGAAGGAAGAGGCGAGAGAGGAGGCAGGGGGAGGGGACGAGGGGGGGCAATGGAGCTGGAGGTAGCACGGAGGGTGAGTGGGGAAGAGGGTGGGACGCCCATGGAGGTTCAGTCGCATGCTGGTGGGTGTGATGCACCGGTGCAGGAGGGAGGGGGAGGGGAGGTGGGGGACGGGTTGACGCGTGACTTCACCGCTGCTAAGAGGAGAAGGAAGATGGAGAAATGGCCTGGCGAGAAGGGGAGGATAAGGGAGGAACAGGGCTATCAGCGGGAGCAGGTGGTCCAGGAGAAAGTTCAGGAGAAAGTTCAGGTGCCAGTGGAGGAGTTGCACAGGCCTGGCACGTCGACGGGCAGTGGAATGGCTTTCCAAGAGGAGACAACGGAGCAGGGTACAGAGCCGACGCAGACACAGGCGTGCGTTGGAGCACAGGAGGGAGAAAAGGAGAGAGAAGGGAAGGGGGCGAAGGAGGGGGGAGAGAAGGGAGGGAAAGAGAGGAGCGAGGATGCAGCAGAGGAGAGCAGGCGAGAAGGACAAGGGGAGGAGGGAGAGGGGAGTGAAGGGGACCGGTACCACTGGCTCAAGTACGGACAGAAGGTGCTGATGGAGAGAGTTTATGCACGGTGAGTGAGGGAGTGAGTGAGTGAGTGAGACAACACACGGTGAGTGAGGGAGTGAGTGAGACAACACACGGTGAGTGAGGGAGTGAGTGAGTGAGTGAGACAACACACGGTGAGTGAGGGAGTGAGTGAGACAACACACGGTGAGTGAGGGAGTGAGTGAGTGAGTGAGTTAGTGAGAC